TTTTAAAGCTGATTGTTTTGTGTTCATTTTGTTTAGTTCTTTTTCGTAAGAGATTTAATGTTTAGTATAGAGCTTAGAAAAAATTCGCAGTGTGAGATAGACAAGAAGTAAGGCATGTAAAATAACATCAAAACGGCAAAGGGCACTCCTTTAAAAATTAAAATGCTGCTAGTATATAATAAATATAATCAATCTTATTGCCAATATCGTTATCATTTTTTTAGGCTTTTTCATTCCTCAAATTTCATTAACCTGCCTATTAAATCCAATGTATACCCATGACGTATATATATATATATATATATATATATATATATGTGTGTGTGTGTGTTGTGTGTGTGTGTGTGTGTGTGTGTGTGTGTGTGTGTGTCGTAAGTTATCTAAATGGAATCAATCATATATATTCATGACAGTTGGTTTCAAATTTGCTATTCAGTCTTGGTATTAATTAGTTTCAATCATGTATCGTAACTTTTAGAGAATAATAATAATAATAATAATAATAATAATAATAATAATATGTAAAATGATCCTCAATTAACTAAAATCGAATAGAAATCCAATAGATATCTCGTACTCTCCGGCTGGCGGTCAAAAGAATAGTAGATAACAAATTTATGTAACATTTGTTTAGCGGAGAAATTCGATCTCTTTGTTGTGCAGGGAGTGGTAGCAATTAAGATCAAGACAACAGTCCTGGGAAAAAACACTGACAAATGATATCCGCGAAAATATCCCTTGTTACAGGATTTGAAATGTCAAGCATCACGGGACATATGAAAGGACATTTATCTCGGTGATCAAATTTGTCAATTCAAACAAACCGCTCATTAATGATATTATGAAACCAGTACGTATTATGGCATTAATTCCAAAGAGCTTTACAATAGATTATTTTTAGTAATTTTATGTAAGCAATATGTAATTAACGAACTCAAAAGAAAATGTTTTCTACTCTTATTCTTGACATGTATTTCGTTATCCAATATGGAGGCTGAATAAATAACGGTCGACTATAAACATTTATGAAAGATTAACTTATAATTTGAAATTTTTAGAGAAATTTAAGTAACTTTTGTTCTTAGAAGAAGTTTAGTGCCTCTTCAAGGATCAGTTGAAAACATCCCCGACACAGGCCAACATCAATCCTGAGACCTGGGAAACCGTTGTTGCAAATGCTCCTTCCTGGTGTAGGACCACCCGAAAGGTTGGGGCGAGACGAAACTTTCGAGTCCAACCGTCCATATGAAGAGGACCTACAGGAGGGTCCAATTTTTTTAAGCTGTGTCCATCACCCACACACCTTTAGGAGTCCTGCTCATGACACTTTAGGAGTAGTCTGGACTTTCACAGCCATCTCCGTCACCGACACTATGTGGGGAGAAAGGGAATAGGGAGAGAGAATGACGCTCCCGATGCCCGGATGCAAGCGTGTACCGACGAAGACGTAGGAAGACATCGCCAAAGATCGCTCACACTGGAGACGCGATTTACACCGAGAGGGCTGGAGCGAAGAGAGAAGAAACGTTTTCCGCCGGGGTAAAACGTGGTCGAAGGAAAGAAAACAACGCATCGACATCGGAGAATCGAACCTGTATCTTATACGGAACCGTCATATAGCCTGACGTGCCTTAACCGATTGGGCCACAGGGGAGAGTTCGGTCAGCAAGGTCGATTTTACTCTTTTTAAACACAAATCTCCATGATTTTCTCTCATTCATTCATATCTGCTCAATGCGTATCCAAATGTAAACAAGTGACGTCATACATTATGAAATGGACAAAATCCGACAATTATTTAAGATATTTTTTATGTTTATACTTTCTTTTTATAGACACAAATATTTAAGTAAATGGTCTGTTTTATAATAAATATTTATAAATATAAATATAATAAATAATATACTTAAATATTTGTATCTATTTAAGTATACTATTTTTTAGGCGGGTAAATGTTAATACTGTTTATCGTCACATGCATTCGTTCTCACGTGAACCTGTACAGTAATAGCAGTCGTCATCAGTAGATGAGGCATACATTTTTAGTCGCAGATCCGTTATCTCGCGAAACCGGCGGACGTCACATGCATATATATATATATATATATATATATATATATATATATATAATTATTTATTTAAAAAATATGATTCCAACTCGCGACATAAGAGGTCTCATGTTTTTAAACAAAAGAGCCAAAAACTTCAATATAATTATTTGAATTAAATTGAACAAAAAATCTTTTCCATCTTCAAGCAATTTTTTTTTTGGAATCAATTTCCTTGAAGATGGAACAGAGCTTACTTTAAAACAATTTAATTCAAATAATTATATTGAAGTTTTCAGCTCTTGTTTTGAAACATGAGACCTCTTATGTTGCGAGCTGGAATCATATTTTTAAATAAATATTTATATTTATACTCTACTTTTGTATCGAGCACTATTTTTTAAAAATAATAACTAAAATACGAAGGAACTTTGGATTATTTACCTAACCAGTTCCTTCCTATTTTCTATATATTTTCATACACACACACACACACACACACACACACACACACACACACACACACACACACACACACACATATATATATATATATATATATATTTTTTTATTCTGCTCTAATAGTCGTTCACTGAATTTTTGCATTGTTTTTATTCATTTGTTTGAAGTAAAATTTCCGCTCCCTTGTCGCCATATCCAATCCCGGGAAAGACGTCGAGAGTAAGCCCTGGGGACAAACCCGAACCCGAAGTCCCTAAGACAGTCCGATGCCATGTTTAACTTTGTTCTGGCAGGTGCCAAGCAGTATTCGACTCTACCTTTTCCTTGGACAACATCGGTGGCGTAGAAAGGGGAGACGTTCTGCATGGGTAGTCGTCGATCTCTCATGTAAACCTGTCCGTCACCTCAACGGGACAGCAAAATCACGGTAAGCAACAATTTGTGTATGAGAAACTGCCCACCAGAAAAACGGTGACCTTAGCTTCGTTTCAAGGACGTCTGCAAAAGGAATATCAGAGCGATGGGCATGGACATCGAGAGGTGGGAAGACGTTGCCAACAATAGCTTAAATCTCGTCTCCAGCTTAAGCTATTGTCGCCACTTTGGTTTTGATCGGAGACTCTACATTACAAGTTAAATAACACCCACCATCACAATAAAATAAGAAAACTCCACAACACAGATCTTTTGTAAAGTATTATATGTCAAGGCTAGTTTAGAATTAACACTAAGTGTTTGTTAATTTGTAACACAAAGTTACAGAATAATTTTTTGAATATTGTAGTTGGTAGGGAAGCAAGAAATTGGAAGGAAACAGGTGAGAGAAAGGAAGCTGTTAAAATAGAAGTGGCGGTTGAATATAGCCAGTTTAACACTAAAATGGTGAGACCTAGTAGCCAGTCTAGTGGAACGCTTAAATTCATATAGTCGACCAACTACGAAAAAAAAAAAACTCATCAAAACAATTGCTAGGAAAATATTTGTAGAAAAGGCAGAGGGAAGCCACGTCACTTCAGTGAAAAAGTGACTGAAATCGAGATGCCTGGTCAGGATCGATTATAGTGCAGATCCCTCTTCGGATTTTGCCAAGAATCTCGAGATATACAGTAGGATCACCAGACCAGATATGGCAGCAGTATTCAATGCGATGATGAATGGTAGATTTAACAATTTACTGGTGATAAGGTACCTTACTTTCCTCTGGTTTTAGGACTTAAAGGAACACTTACTAATTTAAGATTTAATTATGTACCCACAGTGACCTAATTATTAACAGGAATCATGTTCCCGAAACCCACGTGAACGACTAAAATGGCTAATTCCCTAAGAGTCAACATCAGCTGACCTTCATAGAGGTTTTATTAATTCCCCCGTGTTCGGTTAGCTTCCAAGAGATGGTGTCTCGATAAAAGCGCCCAACCTCCTGTGTTGTAATCAAATCAGTAATAGTAGGTAGGTCCACTTATTCCTCAGTTCACGTTCTTTCCACGTCTATTAAACAGGAGTAGGGTTTTATTCCTGATTTGCTGTTTAAGATAGGGCTTGCGGTTCCATCTTCTGGGGCCTTAATGAAAGCGACTACTTTAACATTTTGTTTATATGACTGGCCGTTGTGAGGCTAAGGGTTGAGAGTTTTCTTGTTGCATTTTTAAGTTATCTACAAATCTGTCTCCTTGGTCATTTTTAGATAAATATACCAATTTTTTTTCTACGTCTATGATCATATTAAGGTCCTTATAATTTGCTTCGATTTTTTTCTTATTTTTTACGTCTATTTTAATGGCACCGATGAATTCTATCCAATGTCAATTTTGTGATGTGTGTTATTATATAGAATTTCTCGCAACGTTCTTCGATTTTAATACCAATACCTTTTGAACGATACCCACGTATCATTCTCTTTGGCCATTTGGTTGTTGATAATATGAAGAGAGGTTGATATGTTATATCATATTGATTTTAAAATGTTTAGTAAATTCTAATTAATTGTAGCATTAACAAACACTTGATGGAATAAAAAAAATACCTCTTGTGATAATCTGGCATTAAGCGCGAAAATTAAGTCGCCAGTTTGCACCCATTAGTCAGAACGAGAGCACGTGTATTAAACGTCTAATATGGTTGAGGCTAAGTCAGTTAGGAACACGCAAACTCGAAAGTAAGACCTTAATAGGTTTTCTTTTTCTGTATCTTAATATAAGTACAGTTATTGATTACAATACAGGAGGCTGGGCTCTTTTATAGAGACACAATCTCTTGGAAGGTAATCGAACACGGGGGAATTAATAAAAAGAAAAATATGCAGCAAGCTGTTAAGAAACGTACGTGACAACATAGTTTGAAGTATGTCAGATGTCCCCACAATTATGAAAATGGATATCCAATCCCACGGACAGTATCATGTCCAATTCAAATTTAATAATCCACGTCACCTTTCCTGGGGCAGCGTAACAGATATATTGAGCCGGCCTCCCCAACAAGGCTGCGGGCTGACGGCCACATCACGTTGAAACACCGTTCCCCCTACGATCACCGAAGTTAAGCAACTTCGTGCCTGTTCAGTACCTAGATGGGTGACCGCTTGGGAATACTAGGTGCTGTTATTGTGGATGTGCTAGTGGTGTAATGGATAGCAACACAGAATTGTTAATCGGAGAACTGAGTTTCAATTCCCGTTGGGGTCCTTATATTCACTTACGTACAAATAGCCTTAGGAAAGGTATGAATCTACCTCTTCTCCTCCCCCCCCAGCTATGGGTTAATAAGACTTTTAACACTAAAACCGTTATTATCTAAAATAGAAATAAAATATAAAAATAAATTGCGTACGAAAGATTTAGATTTCGGAATTAAATAAACCATGACGATTGATACGACGCTGAACAAAAAACAACCAACCACCAAGGTTGCATGTGACACAAGGTCATTTTAAGTTGGGGAGCGCCGTATACATACTTATGTATATGGGCCGAGGAAAAAAAAGTGATTTTTGCTCAGAACCCGCGACTACTGTCCTGCTGACATCGGTTTTACACCGATCGAAGCACTTTAGTGTGATGGGAAATGTTCAGCGGGCTGAGCAACTTCTTCCATTTAAAATGAGGAGAATCATAACTCCACTTACAAGGGCATTAACTACGCCTCAGTAAACCCTCGTTGGCTAATGGTCAAGGTAAGTGAGTCAGCCTATCTACGCTGACTCACCTGATACAGGTCTGAGCATTTACATTGCTTCAAGGTATGGTGGCGCTACCTTTAATTACCCCTACATTCATTATTTACATTATTCGGACTATTGTGCTCATCTTTTTCGCCATATTTATTGCAACATTTCGGCCGTTGTACGATCCGGCCTTCTTCAGGTGGTTGGAACTGAATCCTTTATTTCGCTCGCTAGGGTAGACTGTTCTAGTTCCACCTGCCATGTTTAATAGAAGTCAGTTATCATTTATCTCCTGTTAATTTCCCTCTCCAAGTTCTCCACTGCCTTAAGTGGGTATTGAACTCACACTCTTTTGGGTCCTGTCACTGGGTCTAACTAACGCCTTTATCCACTGTGCCGTGTGTCAGAGGAAAATTAACAGTGTCTTTTTTATAAATACTTTTGGATTAGCTCTTCGCTATGGTACTAGATTTTAATTGTTGTTTTCATTCCTTTCCCCCCACAGACGATGAATTATACATATGGAGACTAGTTAGGATTTTCATAGAGACAATGAGGTATTATGGTGGTTGTAGTAAGAAAGGTAAGTAAAAATGCGTTGTTTTGGTGTTCGGAATATTGTAGTATGTTTGGGTCTGTGTTTGTGGCTAGCTGAGTTTAATGTTAAGACAGCTGAAGACCGCCCTTTCCCCATTCCTCTTTCTTGGCCTTGTGCCATACTTTCTGTATTTGAAGCGGGAATAAATATCGCTCTTCGCTATGGTATCTAGACATTTTTTAATTTAAGCGCAGCACCAGACTGGCGTCGAGATTTCATTAATTTACAGGTGAATTGTCTTGATGTAGCTTTAAATTCTATGCTAACAGTTTCTTTTCTCGAACTTCTCGCCCGTGGAACTCCCTTCCGTCTCTATGTTTCCCTGACAACTTTTATCTTCAAAAATTTAACTGCAATATCAATCGCTATCTATTCTACTGTTTTTCTGATTATTCTTTCGTTTTCCCGCTCATTATTAATATTTCTGCTCCTAATTCTTCCATTTCCTGTAACTCATTGTGTCTTAGTGGCTTTACTGCTTTACATGGGGTGATACTGATTAAAGAAGAAAAAAGATATGTGTGAACCAGTGGTGTAGCTAGAGTAAACGTCACCCGGGGCGGTCCGCTCAAATGTCACCCCAATGACCCCGATTCACCCTATGCTGAATGGTTAGCTGTAGCTAAATTTTCATACATGCTCTACCTCTACTTTACTCTACTGACCGGTACGTTACTGTTTACATGTATGATCCAAGACAAAATCCAATACCACAAAAATAATCAGTTCAAATCAAAAGCTGAAAACATTGCTATTTTTCCTACTCACAAATTTCCCGACAATTTATTAGAAAATTTCTGACGGGGGGGAACAAAACTGGGGGGTCATAAATTATGTCTCTGGGAGTCATATGCCCGCCTGCGAAACCCTGTGTCTCCACCACTATTTTCAGACTATTTTTGGCACCTTAGCCTGGTTGAAAAATTTTGTTGGGGGTGATATTGTGTCACCCCTCCTGTGCTGGTACCCGGGGCGGTTCGCACCCCCATCGCCCCCTATCTACGCCACTGGTGTGAATTCTTTGCATCGATAAATCCATTTGTCAGTTAATCTTTTTCAGTTGCAGGAGGGGCTATTTCGTTTCCACTACAATATTAAATAAACTTCTATGTCCATTTTCAATCATGACAAACTAATGAAATAATAAAGTTCTATCACGTTACGGCTAAATCATTAACTTATTGATCAAATGTCAATCGTTTTGTTTATATCCTTTCAGGAAAACAAAACCAATGGAGTGATGAACAAATATCAATACCAGTTAAATTGTTCGATCCTTGACTGGGCATAAATATTTAATAGTTAACTTCCTACAAAACAAATTTACAAAGAACGGAGAAAGAAATCATGCATACAAGAAATACCCGGGGGAAGCGGAAATTTGGATTAGCCATTGATTTTATTTGGCAGAAGATAAATAAACGGAGAGAAATATCAGAGAAGCGGTAATAATTACGAAGGGAGATTAAAAAGAATATTATGTTGCCATTTGGCTTGAAGTGTTTCATTCATTAAAGTCATATTTCATGTCAGCCATATATATATATATATATATATATATATATATATATATATATGTGTGTGTGTATTGCAATGAATTATTCATACAAAAAGTAGATTAGTTTGTATCCGTTAAAAATAACACATTTAAAAAAAAACAAAAAAAAAAACACATATTTCGTTTCGCATTTAATTTTTTCGTATCGGATACTACTGGATTTCACTAAAAACAAAATAATTTCCATGCCTGAGGATGACTGATTGTACAGTTGAAAGTACTTGCGTATTAAAAAAAAAGACCTTATACAGCTTATAATTATTAAAATCAAGGATCATAACATTCATCGAGTGATTTGTAGGTTAATGCAACTTTAAAATTTTTGCTCGCCAAAGGATTTTGCCATTTTATATCATTAACTTTACTAATCTACTTTTTGTATGAATGATTCATTGTAATATAAATTGAACTGCACCACATATTTGATATATATATATATATATATATATATATATATATATATATATATATATATATAAAATTTGTGCATTTAGGCAGCAAATTCTCTTTTAGTCATGTCTGATTAAATAAATTACAGACACTATGTCTGATAATTTTTTAACAAAATCCGTTAATACTCACGAATAACCTTTCGTGCATTGAAATTAAATGATGTGAGAAATGGGCATTAACTGTTTAAATCACTTTTATTTCCCATTTCTCAAGTACTTTCGATCTTCTTCCAAGATAATCTTCAGGGGTGCAAGTAGTACAAATGAACGCTAAGCCTCATTTCGGTGGTCGTAATGGATGTGGCCGTAAACCAGATTAGTTTTAAAGTAATTTAGGAAAGAAAACTAAAGAAAAATTTATTCGACTCTAGATGAATGAAACTTAACTATAAACAAAATTAAAAAAAAATATTTGCTGGAATCCGTCAATTAATGAAAGTAATAAATACCTTAGATTTATAATTTACTATAAAATAGTTTAAAACATATAAACTAATAATTACTAATAACTCTTTTGTGATACCCAACGAACACTCGTTGTCACTTTCGTAATGCTCGTAGTAGTAGAGACTTTATAAACGCAGATACAACCCCGTTGAACAATACTGGTATCAGACGCCTTCGAGTAACACTCGCACTAATAGTACCTGCTCGATAATACTCGATAGAATAGTAACCACTGAATAGTAATCCGTATAGAGAAGAGAACAAAGGAGAAAAAGTGAATTTTATAGTAAAAGAAGATAGAATAGAAATAAAAATCAATCTAGACGTCACGTGACTTCACTTCCTGTATATGCATTTCCTCTACGGTCACGTGATCCACTTAATTCAATAATGGGATTGCCTGTGTAATGCCAACGAATACTCGTTGTCATTTTCGTAATGCTCGTTGTAGTAGAGACTTTGTAATCGCAGATATAACTAGAGTAACGTTGTTGAACAATACTGGTGTCAGACGCCTTCGAATAACACTCGCACTAATAGTACTTGCTCGATAATACTCATCTGAATACTAACCACCCAATAGTGATCCGAATAGTAATCCGTATAATGATCAGTATAGAGCAATATTATAGTGAATAGTATAGAGAATAGCGATCCGATTAGTAATAGAGGATAGAGCAGAAATGGTGATCTGTATAGTAATAGACGAAAGAGTAGAAATGCATATCCGTGTAGTAATAATGATCAATTAGACGCCACGCTAATTCCCATATATACATTTCCTTTATGGTCACGTGATCTATTTAATTCAATAATAGAATCGCCTGTGTTTGCTCACTGGCGATCTATGTTTAAACTACAGTGTCGGCAGCGACACTATACTCCTCTACTTGGAATCTTAAATATTATCCATTCTCGTGTCCCTTGGGAGGTTGTATCTCCAATACCAATATTGAAAGACGACATGAAATTCTTACAATTGTCACATAAACACTACTCGCACTTGTAGATTAACTTGTGTCCCTCATCGAAACTGCGTAATTCGTGTACATATCAATCCTCAGATCACAAAGAAACATACGACAGATATTAATAGATATTACCAATACACTATACACGCTATTAAGAACGACTCGAAGTTGTTATGAAACAAACATGAACAATCATTAAATTAAAGACATTAGTATAGGAGACTGAATTTTATAATGCTTATAAAATATTTAACATATTTGCTTTATGGTCTGTCAGCCTTGGCGAAACTATTCTAGAGGTGACGTCATTAATACAATAGATGTATATTTAAATCTGAAATGTAGCGTTCCAGGAAGTAACTAATAAAACTTTGCACTATGATACTGAAAACATTTAATTCTTGATAAATGAT